TGCCCCCCCCACCCCCAGTGACAGCCGCAGCACTGAGCTGAGTAACGAGGGGAATGGAAGAATAGCTAAAGAAAAACTTCCAGGAGAAAATTATGCTTTTTCCTGCAAGGCTAATGGTGCTCCTGTTGGGGGGAAAAAAAAAAAATCCCATTTCAGGTCAGTCGTAGTGGTCAATACAAGGTTCGACATTGGCTCAGAAAGTTGGGAATGATGGAAACCCATCTCAAGTAGTGGTGTAACGCTGGGGTTTGGCAGCGCGTGATGAATACCAGGGTTTGTGAAAATTCCTTGTAAAATCTGAATAGCAAATAATGGAAAATTCTATAACAAATATAACGACCGGGAAGGGCTGCAATGTCCTGTTCCTGCCTTCCATAACACAGGGAGGGGAGGTAAATGCCGGGGAGGGAGCGTTAGGGGCAGGGCTGTGCTGGTTACGGTGCTCCTTACGGAGCCGGGATGCGAGGCGAAGCTTGCCGGGATGCGGTGGGTCATAGAATCATGGAATCGCTTTGGTTGGAAAAGCCCTTTGAGACCATCAATCCCACCCGTTAACCTAACCCTGCCATCCCACCACTAAACCCTGGCCCTCAGCACCTCATCTGTCCTTCTTTTAAATCCCTCCAGGGATGGGGACTGGACCACCTCCCTGGGCAGCCCATTCCAGAGCCTGACAGCCCTTTTGGTGGCAGAGCCATCACCCTTCGTGCCGGTGGCCGGTGGCCTTCCAGGGCTGCTGTGCTGGGAGCTGCAGTAAGGCGCGCGTTAGAAAGGGTGCGTCCCCGCTCTGCACGGCTGGCGCTGGGTTCCCACCCATTTCGGGGCCACGCAGCTGGACTGAGCCTTGCCTTGCGGGCTGGTGGCAGAGGCGCGGGGTGCTGCCAGGGTGCCTCGGCGAGGGCTGCTCCGGCAGTGACGTTTCTCTCTCTCTGTCTCTTCCCTGCCCAGTCCCGCCAGACCCCGGAGGGCGAATTCCTCCCGCTCGATCAGCTGGAGCTGGACGTGGGCTTCAGCACGGGGGCCGACCAGCTTTTCCTCGTGTCCCCGCTCACCATCTGCCACGTGATCGACGCCAAGAGCCCCTTCTACGACCTCTCCCAGCGCAGCATGCAGACGGAGCAGTTCGAGATTGTCGTCATCCTGGAGGGCATCGTGGAAACGACGGGTGAGTAGTGGCAGCCGATGCTCGGCGGAGCAGATGCCACCCCGCGGGTCTGAACCACCCGCCTTCGAAAGGGCGGCTGCTTTCGGATTGCCCTTTAATCCGAGCGCACGGTCACGTTTGGCAAATGCTTTGAGCCAGCCCGAGTTGTCTCTTCCTACCAAGCGGGGGTTTTTTTGGCAGTGTGTCCGTTACCA